TCCGGGGTCGGATCATTGGTGCCAACTCGTCTCGGAGGATAAAAGCACTGGCTTCCGCATCGGCTAGCCACAGAGCTTCCAGCCATGAAGCAAGTTGCTGATCTGCCAAGACTCTCTTTGTTGTCGTCCTCTGTTACTAACCAGGACCACTTTATTGCCATCCCTTATCTCGGATTCTAGACATAATGACTCCCGCTAGGATTCGCCATGAATCTGATTTCTAGTCAGATCCGAGAACGATCTTGAAAGATGGCTCGAATTTAAAATTCGCTCGTTATTGAAATGGCACAAAGACACTAACATTGGGGTTCTCATTACTGTGTTTGTAAGCTTGTTTCCCAACTTGTTAGAGAGATGACTGTAACACAGAATTACCCGTCATTGAACGATTTTTAGGCCGGTGTTGATCGCGGATAGATTAATTTTAATTCAATTCTCTACAAAATTTTATTTTCCATTAAACTCTTTAGTCGTCAGGCTGTTTTCAACCAGATTCATGAAAACTGTGCATTTTCAGAATCCGGACAAAATATTTGCTATTATCGAAGTGCTGGGAGAGATAGCGATTTCTCTATACCGTATCTATGCCAGATTGGATGCTGTAATCATGGCTGTTGTACAGTTGCTGATCTTGCTGCGTAAGTTTTCAAAATCTTTATCGTTCTAAACATGTGGCAAAGTAAAGTTAGGTAAAGATAATAGTATCCAGTGGAACATAATGATAAGAAACCTCTGCTCCGATTCCGTTAAGGAAGTTCTGGAAACTTGCCCACGCCTGGCTGTCGATAAGCTCGTTATCTGCATAATTAAACGCACGAAATATACTATGAATATTTTTTAGGATTTTTCAGACCGCTGTAAAAAAAATTTTTGACAAATCCTGAAAATAGAAAGTTCATTAGTGTTACCTCTGAATAGAATATCTAGAAAAGGGGCCTCTTAAAAAGCAAAGCAGCTACTTCTAGCTGTTCAGGCTGTTCAGTAGATTTCCAAAATGATCGTGAACGATAGCAAAAAAGAAATCTTGAATAATAAGCCGGTTTTAGCCTTATAGAGTAAGCGCTTGCAGAACATATGTAGTGGCTATAAGGTCAACATTATGGGCATGCCAATTTATTATGTCTTGTCTTGTCAAGAAACCCTCGACTAACCTCTGTAGTGGGCCAGCAACACCACTGAGTTTTAGGGGTCTCTTCCCTTTAACTCCACCTCACCAGGAAAACTTTTCAGTACAGCTACCATAACCTAAGTGCATTACAGTTTCTCTGGTGCCAACCCCAGCACATTCTGATCTTCAAAATTCTGTTTTTCAGGCGAAGTAACTCCTTTGGTTGGGCGATCGCGTTACTATCGATCGTGCTTATCACTATCATTCTCGCCGTGGTAGCCATAACTGTTGTATATTTCATGAACCGACGAAAAGATAAAGTACTGAAAAATGCAATAGTCTACGGTGGTGGAAGCTCATCAGCAAGTCAGGTGAGGTCTTACATCGGTTATCTGATTCACCCAAATTTTTTCCTATGAAACACCTCCACACACCCCTATCAATTTCAAGGATATTCAGACTTGCAATGTTGCACATCTAAAAATACCAGTGGAAAACATTAATTTGATGAGAAAAGGTTCATTTTAACGCAACTTTCCTTTTTATAGATCAGTGGTCCAACAGCATACTATCCGCGTGAGTCGTACTACAACTCTCAAGGAATCCAGCACTTCTGATCTTCTAATGCCTTTGTGTTTATGGCGTAATCCTTACATTATACACTTTTGGGCTACCTACTTAATGTATTTACTGTTTTCGTTGCAATAAAGACGAGGTATTTGCACGTGTACAAGCCAGCTGAAGACTGATAACAGCTTCTCACTGTAGATGATCACTCCCTTTGTGTGACCAACCAATTCCTTCCCTAAGCCTTCAACATACTCGTTGTCAAGCAGGTCCTTCCTCAGGCCTTCCAACAAACCAGACTTGGTTTAGCGAATTTGTTCTCACTGCATGCATCAGATGGATTTAACAAGTTAAGCCAGTGGAGAGAACTGTAAACTGTGGGCGAAATAATAAGCTTACGTCAATATGCGGAAATCTTCTCCCGTTAGGGTCTATCATAATATTTTCGGAATTTTGGCTTAGCCCCGTCAGCCATATGTACTTGATGGGGCCAGATTCCATGTAAACATAGGTGTCGTGACTGTGAAGCGTCATGTCCACCCACAAAGTGTAAGGATCGAATCTTAAATCTTGAATTAATCTTTCCAAAATTCAAAGATTCAAAAGACTCATGTCTCGGCATTACAGTACTATTATACTTATCACCCCGCTTCTAAATTTTTTGAGCGGCGCTAGCTATCCATCCGCTATCTGTTTGTAGCCGATATGGTGGACCTTCCTCGCTCAGTGGTTATAAGAATAGTACCCCTTTTTGTCGAGATTTTTAAGAAAAATTCGGTTCCACGACGAAATTTATTCCTGGGTGAACGATCTGGACGAGTTTAAGTGACGCAGTAAAGTTTAAAACCGTAAGTAAAGCGTTGGGGGCTGTTTTCAAATAAATTAACAGATAAATGAAATTTCGTACAGCAATCGAGATAGAACAGTGCAGATCCATTTCGATTCGACCCGAAGGTTGAGTTGAATGAGCTTCACCTGGTGTCGGCAAATTTCCGGTCTGGTCAACGTTGTCAAGGGGACATCAAACACACCTCACAAGCCACGACGTGGTACCTAAAGTACCTGAGTGAGGTCGAGAGTGTAAGTGCGTCTCAAGGAGGGCTCGTGAAAGATGATGGCGAAAATCTGATGTACTCAATGAGTAAGTGCATTGGAAAGGTGATCCTACGTTCGAGATCCTCTCAAAGGACATTTAAATTCTTCGCAATGAGGAAAATCGGCTCTGGCCGATGTTACGGTACAGAATTTGAAAAACCAGACTCATTATGTCAATCGGGGGTTTACACGTTTGTGTTGACAAATGTGATAGCTAAAATTTGATTGACCAGTTGTGTTGAACTGGTTTTACTAAGATGCCATGAAACATGAAACCGACACCCAGTTCCTCTCCTTTTTCATCCCTTACTTACTCACTGATTGGAGTTAAATTCTTAGGGCGTTAATCAATCCCCTTTGAGGGATGCGCCCCGCATACAACTTCCATTCAGAATCGCACTGGCTTATTGAACGCGTATTGGCCGATACAATAGCTTGCTGTGGCCAGGCGATGTACAAGTCACTGCTTTTATCCTCCCAGACGAGTCTGGCACCAATTCACCGGCCTTGGAGGGATGGATGACTCGGTTGGCCTAGGCAGTTATTGGCCCGACATTTGAGCCCATGACAATGCGTGTGCGATGTTGCGCCACTTGCCGCTATAACACCTTCGCCTGTAACTGGAGTAAGTGACAAAAAACTGTGCTGCTGGAGGGACACTACTCTGGTGATACCAGTAGCATGATCAGATCGCGATGCTCGCCTATGTTAAGGCTCTGCTAGCTACTCCATTTCAATTTTTTTTCATTGGACTCTAGATTTTCATGTTACTTGCTAGAGTGAGGCGCCGCGTTTCCCTTCTTAATCAAATTCAAACTGAAATCCTAGCCATGTTTTTAAACAAGAATTCCGGTTATAGTGTCCTTATGGAATGGAACAGGTAGCAAGTATGGATCAGGGAATCACGGCAATGTGGGAGGACCACAAGGTACAAACTGATACTACGGATATTACGTAGTAATCACGTATGTGTTGCTTACGTGGTATACTTGTATTCATGACTTCGTGCGCAATCACCTCCTGACCTGCCTACTTTTAGAACGGCATCAAAGGTAAGTTTGTTCGATGTGGTTGGATAATTGCCCAAGTTACTA